GTAATAATCCAGGGGCTCTTCAATGATGAGTAAGCCAATCTGGCTGACTGCGAAGTCATAAGGAATAAAAGTGCTGGCACAATGTGGAAAGAAACACAGCCAGGCCATGTCTGGTCACCTCCACGCACCATGTAGAATCATTCAAGGATTTCACAGTTTGAATAGTAGAGAGATGCTTTAGCCAAAACACATTTAGTGCAGCACAAAACAAAGGCAAGTATTTCAGACACACTTTGGTTTAAAATAGGCAAGCTACACATCTGAACTCCAGTGTGAAGTGAACAAAAAACATTCATCTATAGACAAATAACAACACTTTAGCACTGCAGATGCTGAATTTATTTGCGAGGAAGGAAAGGGAGTGTGCAGCTGTGAAAATCACAATGTTCAAGTGGCTTCTTGGTAGTTTTTCACCATAGCTGCATGTGTGACTCAAGCGTTTGTGGTATTCTGGCCTCTACAGATGGCTGATGCATAAACACTAATTACACTCACCGGCCACTTTATTAGGTATTACTTGTTAAGGCAAATTTCTAATCAGCCAATCACATGGCAGCAGCTCAAAGCATTTAGGCATGTAAACATGGTCAAGACAATCTGCTGCAGTTCAAATTGAGCATCAGAATGGGGAAGAAGGCTGATTTAAGTGACTTTGAACGTTGCATGGTTGTTGGTGCCAGACAGGCTGGTCTAAGTATTTCAGAAACTGCTGATCGACTTTTACTCACAACCATCTCTAATAACCACTCGTTACAACCGAGGTATGTAGAAGAACCTCTCTGAACGCACAACATGTCCAACCTTGAGGCGGATGGGCTACAGCAGCAGAGGACCACCCTGGGTGTCACTCCTGTCAGCTAACAACAGAAAACTGAGGCTACAATTCGCAAAGGCTCACTAAAATTGGACAATAAAAGATTGGAAAAACGTTGCCTGGTCTGATGAGTCTCGATTTCTGCTGCGACATTCAGATGGTAGGGTCAGAATTTGGCATCAACAAACAACATGAAAGCATGGATCCATCCAGCCTTGTATCAATGGTTCAGGCTGCTGGTGGTGGTATAATGGTGAGAGGGATATTTTCTTGGCACACCTTGGGCCCATTAGTGTCAATTGAGCATCATGTCAATGCCACAGCCTACCTGAGTATTGTTGTTAAATCATCTAAGACTGGTTTCTAGATTATGACAATGAGTTCACTTTACTCAAATGGCCTCGAATCAAACCGAACACCTTTGAGAGGTGGTGGAATGGGAGATTCGCATCAGGGATGTGCAGCCAACAAATCTGCATCAACTGCGTGATGCTTTCATGTCAATATGGACCAAAATCTCTGAGAAATATTTCCAGTGTCTTGTTTAATCTATGCCATAAAGGACTAAGGCAAAAGGGGGTCCAACCTGATACTAGTAAGATGTACCTAATAAAGTGGCCAGGGAGTGCATAATACATGCATAAAAATATTCTGAAAGAATGTTGATACCAAAAGTTGAATTCTCTAGGTTCTTACTAATGATTCAGCCTTTTTAAACAAATCATTTGAATGAATGATTAATTGAATTACTCATTATGAAAAGAGATATGCTGTCACCAACCGGCAGCTTTAGAGTCATATTTATTTATCATACCATATATGATAAATATCTTCTTCTACATTGTGTAACCACAATAGAAATGAAGATGAATTAAACTGAGCTGTTTCGAAGTGCCAAAACAAATTCTTCAACAAAACTTCATTTTTACCAGATTTTATTTAAAATGGCAGAATTTTAGTTACTTTCTTTTATTGGTCAGTTTGAAGTATACTGGGGCGGGGCCTTAAACCATTCATTCATTTTCTTGTCGGCTTAGTCCCTTTATTAATCCGGGGTTGCCACAGCGGAATGAACCGCCAACCTATAAAGCAAGTTTTTACGCAGCGGATGCCCTTCCAGCCGCAACCCATCTCTGGGAAACATCCACACACACACATTCACACACACTTATACACTACGGATAATTTAGCCTACCCAATTCACCTGTACCGCATGTCTTTGGACTGTGGGGGAAACCGGAGCACCTGGATGAAACCCACACGAAGGCAAAGAGAACATGCAAACTCCACACAGAAACGCCAACTGAGCCGAGGTTCGAACCAGCGACCTTCTTGCTGTGAGGTGACAGCACTACCTACTGCGCCACTGCCTCGCCATGGCCTTAAACCAGCACACATAAAAATGTCTTTGCTAAAGTATAAAACCATTGCTTAAGTATTACAGAAAACATTACGATTTGTTTTTAATAAAGCGCACTTCTAGTTTTGTTCAAGATTAAAAAAAATCACAGACAAATTTAAATAATCTTTTTGAATAGAGTGGAGAAAATCTTTATTTGTGCTCTTTGGATAGCTTCATCAATTCAGCAATGCAACAAATTGACATACATGAAACTAAACTTTTTAGAAAATAAGTAAAAAAAAAAACATAAACTATAAGAAAATGGCAGTAACAAAGAATGTTTTTTCTATATTTTTGATAGCTTTTTAATATTTCAAGATTGGCTCAGCCAATGGCTTGGTTCTGTGACAAGGCTATCCATTTATCCATCCAACTGCAGACAAGGGAACTGTTAGGAGGAACCATTTATTTGCTCTATTTAGTGTCATCCCAGTGACAGAATATCCACGCATATTTAAAAATCATAAATTCTGTCAACCTAAACAACCCTTACTACTTATGAGACACTTCCACAAAAAGTACACATCTCACGTTAGAAAGGTCACTCAAAACTGAAAATTGACTCTCTCCCAAGTGGTTCCAAACCTTGTTTCGTTTCTTTCTTCTGTTGAACACAGAAGATATTAAATGTAAATGACAGAATTTTCATTTTGGGGTGAACTGTCCCTTTAATGTGCCTTTCTGTGCTGCACGCTATTACGCAACCTTCCTGGATCTTTCTCAACCGCAGCTCATAATCCTTCCTAACATTTACGATGAAGAGAACATCTCCACCTTTTTGTTCAAACAACTGATCTGTCAAGCACTGGACTGATCCAGGAACAAAAGCAGACACAGCTGTTTTGGATGAGCCACAGACCACAAGTGTAGTGAAAGCCCAACAACAAAAGGTGCCTGCTGTGCTCTTACATGGAAACACATGCCGGAAAAGATCCAGGCTGATGGATGTATGGCAGTCTCTCACCTGCACATTGGCCTGTCATCATATCTATTTTTTTAAGTTTTGAGTTTTAACTGCAAATGTCACATTCGTAATGCTGGAATTGCTCGACTGTAGTCATTTTGACAATATAATAATTAGCCACAGGAATCAGAATGTGAAAACATAAAAATACTAAACAAATAAACAATAATAATAATAATAATAATAATAATAATAATAATAATAATAATAATAATAATAAATGTTGATGCAACATTTGCAAGGTAAAAAAAAAACTAGAAAAAGGCAAAAATGCAATCTCGATAATTTTTTTCTATATATTTTCGATAACGACATATATTTCGAAGAGTTTTTAATGCTTCCACTTTTAAAAGAGTATCCAAACTGTTACTGAAGGCAGATTCTGCTGGCAGGAAAGTGAAAGGAGCTAAACAATACTGGGTGATGCAGCATGACTTTGGCGAATCTCTAATTTGGCGAATCTTCAATATCAACACAATTATAGATTACTGTTGTTGCATATTTCGGCTGTGTGATTCGCACCTAGAATCCAGAGCTTATCATTGCTATCAACATAAATTCTATCACGATTTGATATATCATTTATTGGCTCCGCCCTAGTTTATAGTAAACATTATAGTGTTTTTTTTTTTACCGTAATGACATCTTCAATAGAGTGCGAATGAGATGACAGAAGCTGCACAATCAGCTATATCGACACTGACAATGGTTATTATGTATTTGCCCGATATGCAGTTGAAGTCAAAATTATTAGCCCTCCTGTGATTTTTTTTTTCTTTTTCAAATATTTGCCAAATTATGTCTAACAGAGCAAGGAATTTTTCATGATATTTACTATTTTATGTTTTCTTCTGGAAAGAGTCTCACTTGTTTTATTTTGGCTAGAATAAAAGCAATTTTTTTTTATTTCTTCGAAACCATTTTAATGTCAATATTATCAGCTGCCTTCAGTGTTTTCTCTATAATTTTTCCAGCTGTGGCGGCAGGCCTTTTACACAGATCTTCCAACTACCTATGCAATATTTCAATGACAAATGTCATGTGCCCAGTATTACAAGTCGAGACCACATTCATGCAATAAGAGCATGTAAATCTCTTTGCTTGCACTCCAATTTTCTCTATTCGTGCACAAAACATCTTGCTCGCCCTTAAATATCCGCTGTTAAGATAAAACCGTCAGTCAGCATGTAACCTAAAAGAATTAACCAGATAAAGCACAGCACTACTACGATTACAGAAAAGTACGAGCTGTTATAATTCCTTTTAATAAATTTTGGTGCGATTATAACCCGCTATTAGAAAAAAACAACAACAACTGAATGTTTTGAATGAGAAGCTGTAATGTAGCCATGTAAGAATGAATGTAGCGGAAATCATGGCCTTAAGCAGTATTTTTGTTCGATTCTAAAACAGAACAAAGCATAATTATACAACGTCATTACTAAATTTTAAATTATACAAATTTTATATTAATACTAAATTATACAACGTCATCACTAAATTACCTAATTAGGCCTTTAAATTTCACTTTAAGCTGAATACAGGTATCTCGAAAAACATCTAGTAAAATATTATGTACTGTCATCATGGCAAAAATAAAAGAAATCAGTTATTAGAAATTACATATAAAACTATTTATGTAATTATGTTTAGAAATGTGTTGAAACAAATCTGAATTATTATCCCTTTCGGGGGGGATAATAATTCTGGAGGGATAATAATTCTGACTTCAACTGTATATTACATGACAAAAAATGATTAAGGTCATGTCTATGCAATAGCACAATAAAGTCATTATACTGATTACTGTGCTGCCCTACCTGCACATCTCCGCAAATGCCAGGAAGTTGAGTTTCTTCATCTTCTTCTCACTGAGCCAATAGCCCACTCGTCTGCCTCTCAGGAAAGTCTGCATCTTCAGCCGCTGATGGCCAGAAGTGACAGCAGTGTCACTCCAGTGAAAACAGGAAACAGTCTTCTTATACAACCCTGCCAAGCAAAGCCAAAGGAGATGACTATCAGAGCCGCATATGACAACGCTTCTAAATGAGTGATAAACCAAAGACTGCAAATAAAAAATTAAAGAGATTCAATGGCTGTAAATAAATAGTACACACTGCTAAATATCAACTTGGGTACTGAATCTTCATGGCAGCAATTAAGTGCTTGTCTAAAGTATATATTTTTTCTTTAAATTTAATATAGGACGCCTCATATCTTCAGTTGAGTTCAGTTATGATACCATCACAGACTATAAATATCATCGTATTTACAGTTTATGATAATATCGCAACTGTTGTTTTAACGGGGACTTATTATGCAACTTTTCACAAGATGTAAAATAAGCGTCTGATGTGCTTAGCGAAGTTTCCACTAAAAATACCACACATATAATGCTTTATAACTGTGCCCCTTTTAGGCTTTGATCCAAATTGTGCTGTTTTGGTGACTGTCGCTTTAAATTCAAATGAGCGTTTTTCATCAGAGGGCGGAGCTACATACGCCTATGCGTCAGTATAGTAGCAGATGCAAAAGCTTAAATTGTCAAAAAAAACTATTTTTTTTTTACTTTTATATGATTAATTACTATTAAATGTTTTGCCTGGCACTAGTTTATTCAGTTTTGAAAGGCTAAAAGGAGCACAGTTTAAACAACAGTTGCGATATGATATGTAAATATGGTGATATTTATAGTCTGTGATGTTATCATAACTGAACTCAACTGAAGCTATAAGGCATCTTAAGTTTAATTTGAAGTAAAAAAAAATATTTTAGACATAAATATACACAGTACACACACCTAAATTATCAAAACAAATTTTTTTTTTACTTTTATGTGATTAATTACTATTAAATGTTTTGCCTGGCACTGCTTTATTCATGTGTATATTTATAATTAGGGTTGTCGCAATACCATTAACTAATCTTACAATACCAGCTGCATATCTTGATACCAAGTCGTATTGTGATACTGTAATTTATAACTCAAATTATAAAGAAAATTGTCAGAAATAAAAAAAATTTACATTTTACAATAGGTCTTTAATTTAATTCATAATTCCCTTATTAATGAAATAAATATTATTTGCACGTCACTTCTCCTAAAATGTAATCGTTTTTTGTTTACTTTGTAGATAACTGACCAACAAAAAACACATTAAAATAAATCTACAAATTATACCAAATGAAAATGTAAAAAAAATAAATCCAAATTAAATTAGGCTATAAGAAGTGGTCAAAAATTGTTTCCTGTTGCTCTTTCGGGTTTTTCATCTATTGTTTTTCTTTTTTTTTTTTACTTTTATGTCTTATCTTGTAAGATTCATTGATTCATTTTCTTTTCTGCTTAGTCTCTTTATTAATCTGGGGTTGCCACAGTGGAATGAACCGCCAACTTATCCAGCATATGTTTTATGCAGCGGATGCCCTTCCAGCTGCAACCCATCACTGGGAAACTCCCATACACACTCATTCACACACACACACACTCTTACAATAAGGTCAGTTTTAGCATACCCAATTCACCTGTGCCGTATGTCTTTGGACTTGTGGGGGACACCGGAGCACTCGGAGAAAACCCACGCAAAGACAAGGAGAATATGCAAACTCCACACAGAAACGCCAACTGACCCAGCCGAGGCTCAAACCAGCAACCTTCTTGCTGTGAGGCAAACGTGCTACGCACTGCTCCACTTATTACCTATCTTGTAACAAACCAAAGTAATGCAAAATTTCACTTTTTAAGAGATTGTCTGTGTTATTGTAGCTACTAAATAATATTAAGAGGAACAGAAAGGAACTGATTCAGGTGTGCGTTTGAAACAGAAAACATCAAAAAACGTGCAACCTTAAAGGGCTCCACAGACTATTAAAATAAAATGGTATATCATTGCACAAACGTGAGAATTTAAGTGACTTTTCCACTTGCAATATTATCTACCGTTAATGACGATACTACCGTTTACAAATTACAGTGGCACCACCAGTATTTTGGAGTCATAGTATCTCAATACTACCATAATACCAATAAACTGCGCAACCCTATTTATAATGTATATATAAATACACACAGGCATGCATTTATTTAATAAAAGGTTTATTTATGGTTAGATATAAAATATATGTGTATATGATGCAAATTAGATATAAATTTTAACTTGTATGTATATTGTATAGTTTTTTTCTATTCATGTGTGTGTATCACATATCCTGATAAATATATATTAGTGCTGCACGATACTGTAAAAATATGAAATTGTAATATTTTGTTATCCCACCACAATATATATTGCGATATGAATATAATTTCACCAGAAGACTTGAATATTTGTATTTGGAAAGATGTCATTGATTTAAACCGGCTGAGATGAGCGAGTCATATTCTATTCAGTGCACCTGCATAAATTAGAATAAATTATAAGCAAAATTCAAGAAATAAACAGTGCTTTTTCTGTTTTCTGAGGAGTCTAACAGTATGCAAGAAAAGAAATTGAACAATTTGAAATTGAACAAGTCATTATTGTATAATTCTTATTTACATATAAATATATATATATATGTAATAATATCTTTATCTTTTAATCTTAAATACATAATCTAATCCTGTGATATGATTATTGCAGATACACACATATAGATGTTCAAACAATATATTGTTCAGACCTTATATATATAATACACACATAGTATTCCAAGTAATCCAAGTTTTAGGAACAACAAATAATAACTTGTCATCTAGTTGATCATTTGGAATCAGTTTAATTATTTAATTAGAACAGTAACGTCTGACTTTGCTTAGACAAAAGTCTTGCCACTTAACAGAGATAATGTACAGTATAGATCATGTCTGGTGACTGGGCTGGCCAATTCTGGAGCACCTTGACCTTCTTTGCTTTCAGGAACTTTGATGTGGAGGCTGAAGTATGAGAAGGAGCGCTATACTTTGGAAGAATTTGCCCTCTCCTGTGGTTTGTAAAGTAATGGCAGCACAAATGTCTTGATACCTCAGGCTGTTGATGTTGCAATCCACTCTGCAGATCTCTTGCACGCCTCCTTACTGAATGTAACCACTAACCATGAAATTTCCTTCACCAAACTTGACTGATTTCTATGAGAATCTTGGGTTGATGTGGGTTCCAGTAGGTCTGCAGCAGTATTTGTGATGACTGGGATGCAGTTCAACAGATGATTCAACAGAAAAATCTACCTTTTGCCACTTTTCCAAATGATCAACTAGAAGTCAAGTTATTATTTGTTGATATTACAACTGTGATCGACAACAAGACTTTTCTCAGGTATTTTGAAGACACAAACATTAAAAACATTAATAACCAGCAGCCATTGACATCTAAAGGAAGAAACAAATGCGATGGCAGTTGATAGTTACCAGACTACAACATACTTCAAAACATCTCCTTTTGTGTTCAACAGAAGAAACTTGAAACGAGTATAGGGTAAGAAAATGATGAGAAATTAAGAAAATTACATAATTTTTTATTTTTGGGTAAACTATCCATTTAAGAAATAGAACATAAACAAGAATGATAAAAATGTACTGAAAATCAGCACATTAACGTGCCACAAAATCAAAGACAAATTTGAAGTTGACATGAAGCTGACAACTAAGGAGTTAAAAACTTGGTTTCATTTTCTACATACTTACACTGACCGGCACATGCTTTTGTTTATCAGGAGTGTTATGTTAAGTTTACATTTTATTATAATATTTAATCCAAAACATGTTCCCACTTTATATTAAGTGTCCGTAACTACTATGTACTTACATCAAAAAATAAATACAATGTACTTACTGTGTTTATAATGTATTTGAGAAAACTTGTGGTGCTTTTGAGTTGGGATAGAGGTTGGGTTATGGACAGGTTTGGTGGCATGGGTAGGTTTAAGGGTGGTTTAAGGTGTAAGGGATGGTCAACAGAGTATTTACAAATGTAATTACAAAAGTTAATTACAGATGTAATTACATACATGTTTTTACTGTGTACTTAAGCTTGATTAAATACACGTATTTACACAATAAGTACATTGTAACAAACTATTAATTCCTATGTAAGTATATATTAGTTAAGGCCACTTTATATAAAGTGGGACCCAAAACATTAAGAGAATTAATTGTTTGATTGAACAGGCACATTTAAAAAAATTAAATAAAATCACACCGATTATGCACTGAAATTCTGTAATATCCCAAAATGTTTCAAATTTCTTTTTTTCTAATTTTCTATTTCAACATTCAAAATATCAAGGAGGAGTTTGTGGCATCAATTTAACTAAACACCCATTTGAAAAAATACTATAGTAATCTATAGTAAATACCAGTGATTGTGTGTTTTAAACCATACTATTGCTAAGTATGTGAACTATTCTTCAGCGTTAATACTATAGTTGCTATTGTAACACAACAGTAATAAACAACAAAATGCAGCACAAACATTTATGCTGTGGTAATTCTATAGTTGCCATGGAATTACAATTACAGAAATATAAACAACAAAATGTGGTATAATATGGTTCAGAACACTATAGTATTTACTACAATGTATTTTAGTACAGTATTTTTTCCATTTAACATTCAGAGATTCAAGGAAGTTTGTAGCATCAGTTCATTAGTTGCTATGGTAACACAACAGCAATATAAACAACAAAATTCCACATAAACTATAGGGTATATTCAACACAATCTTATGGCAATTCGTAATTTTTTGATTTAGTGGCTAATTTGTATGAATTTGTACAATCTCATTCGTACAATGTAGTATGATTTGCTCATTCCCTAATGACGGTTGGGTTTGGGGGAGGCCACGCCTCCTTTTTAAAAACTTACATTTTCGTATGACTGAACTGAATTAGCCACTAAACTGACAAAACGCAAAATAGATCAGTTTCCTCGTTAGATCAGGCTGGTATATTACAAAATTACAAAACACCAGTTTACTATGGTAAATTTGAAAGTATACTCATTCATTTATTCAATTTCTTTTCGGCTTAGGCCCTTTATTAATCTTGGGTTCCAACAACAGAATGAACCTACAATTTATCCAGCACATGTTTTACACAGTGGATGCCCTTCCAACTGCAACCAATCACCGGAAAACTCCCATACATTCTTATTTACACACATACACTACAGACAATTTAGCTTGCCCAATCAGCCATTACCGTATGTCTTTGGATTTGTGGGGGAAACCAGAGCACCCGGAAGAAACCCAAGCGTACGCGAGGAAAACAAGCAAACAGTACTCCACACAGAAATGCCAACTGACCCAGCCATGGCTCGAACCAGTGACCAGTTGCTGTGAGGCGAGTGCAACCCACTGCTCCACTCTACAACCATCTATGAAAGTATACTACAGTATGTATTACAGTTTATCATATTACTATAGATGACACTACAGTATGAAAAGCTTTTGTAAACATTATAATACATACTTACGGTGGCCAAAAGAGCTTAACGTGCTGCAATTTAAGAAAGCATATGCAATTACAAAAAACACCAGCAAATAAAGAAATGATCTCCATCAATTTGACAGCCCAAATTCTCACAACACAAACAACTGAAGAAACGTGCTGCAATTAGTCACGACACTTGCAAATATCCATGTAACACAATGGAAATGTTTCAAGAGGTCTCAAAACCATGACGGACCCTGCTGAGATATGGATGTGTTATTATGTCGTTACTGTTACTCAGTGAAGTGATTAGTGGTCTTTGAAAGGGAAATTGTTTTTCGTTTATTTTAATATCCTGATTACACTACATAATAACACATCCATATCTCAGTGGGGTCCGTCATGGTCCCATTGAAACATTTCTGTTGTGTTACGTGGATATTTGCAAGTGTTGTGACTAATTGCAGCGTATTTCTTTAGTTGTTTGTGTTGTGAGAATTTGGAACACGTGAGCTGTCAAATTGATGAAGATCGTTTCTTAATTTGCTGGTGTTTTTTGTAATTGCATGTGCTTTTTTTTGGCCACCGTAACATACAGTATAAGGACTTTACTATAATATGGCTCAAAACATTATAGAATTTACTGTAATGTATTATGGCATCATATTTTTTCCATTTAACATTCAGATTTTCAAGGATGAGTGTGCAGCATCAGTTAAACAAAACACTCACAGTAACAAAATACTATAGTAATATAAAGCAAAGACTAGTGCTAGTGTTTCTAAATCATAGGCTACCATAGTAGACTATTTTAATTATTCTGTTGAAGTAATTCTAATTGAGTAACATTAAAGTTGGTTTTATATTCACACATTCTGTTTTTTTTTTTATTTTTTATCAGTGACACGCTCCCTATATTGTTCATATATCGTGATATTTTGAATATTCGGTCTGAAATCGCACACAAGCATGACTTCAACACAACATTAGCACGTTAATTGACTATCAACAATATTGTACTATGATGGTCATTGACTCATAATAGGAGTTCCCTATTTAGAATTTGCATTAAATACTTTTATGAAGTTAAATTATTGAGGAGACAGTCCGAATGTTCGAATATAAAAACAACCTTACCACAATGTAATATCATAGTCGCTATGATAATACAACAATTACCGTAAAATGAGCAACAAATTGTGGTATAATAAGGTTCACAACACTTTAGTACAATGTATTATAGTTTCATACTAGAGCTAGTTTTTGAACCATTCTATAGTAAAGTATGTGAACTAATCTTCTGTTAACTCTATAGTTGGTAACTATGGTAATACAACAGTAACATTAACAACAAAATTCCACACAAACTTTTTACAACTGGTAAAGTCAATCTAACAGCAATTCGTAACTATTTAGATCGGGCTGGTATATTATAACACAAAACAACAGTTTACTATGGTAAATATGAAAGTATACTACAGTATGTATTACAATTTATCGTATTACTATAGATGAAACTACAGTATGCAAAGCATTTGCAAACATTATAATACATACAGTGTAAGACACTTCACTATAATATGGTTCAAAACAATAATAAACAGTAATACAAAACTATTGTATTTACTATAATGTATTATAGCATAGTAGTTTTTTTCCATTTGAACACAGAGTTTTAAGGACGAGTTTGTGGCATCAATTGAACAAAACACCCACATGAAAAAATATTATAGTAATCTATAGTAAACACAGTGCTAGTGTTTTAGAACCAGAGGCTAACGTTACCATGATATATAAATTTAATTTATTCGCTGAGGTAATTCTTAACTAGGTAACATTAAAGTTGGTTTTATATTTGCAAATTAGTTATTTTCTAAACAGTGACACGCTTCTTATATTGTTATTCGTGATATTTTGAATATTCGGTTTAAAATCACATGCAAGTATGACATCAACACATCATTAAGACTTTCAGACCATTTAATTTACTGTCAACAATGTTGTACTTTGATAGTCATTGACTGACTCATAATATGAGTTCCCTATTTAGGATTTGCATTGAATACTTTTAAAAAGTTAAATTATTGAGGAGACAGTCCTCATGTGCAAATATAAAAACAACCTTATCACAATGTAATACTATAGTCGCTATGGTAATACTTCAATTACCATAATATAAGCAACAAAATGTGATATAATAAGGTTCAAAACACAGAATTTACTATAAATTACTATAGTATTTTATAATGTCGCGAATTTAAACGGTCTATTCGAATAATCGACTGATTACTTTAACGGCCGCTGCGAATATTCGCTATATCACAGAGCCGCTTCGCGGGAGAGCTGAAACTTTCCGATCGTTAGAAAGCGCTGTGATGCCCACAAATGTTGTCCAGGAAGACAGCTCACTAGAATTAAGACACAGCCCACGTGTCTCTCCTGTCTTTAGTCTCACTATTAAGGCACCATCGCTTCAGAACAGAAATACAGTAAAAATCTGGCATTTGTACACATCATGTAAATTTGCGAAAACAGAAAGCACCAGCGGAGACCCAGATGGACTCCTGAAATCCGCCATAAACAACCCATTCAGCGGCGGCGCAAACAAGCTAACACTCCACCTACTTTCACATTAAGAGCAGCTCAACTCTCGCGGAGGGATGTCAGAAACCCTCGGCTCTGCTTTTGTTGCCCGCTGGACGCCCCGAAAGAGCAGAAGCAGCAGAATAAATACCTGTCTAGCGCATGTTTTCGGGCTCCTGTCGGATAGCAGTTTGGCTAGCTGTAGGACAGTCGGGTCTCCATGGCTGTTCGTCTGTCTGTCTGTGGCCGCCGCTGAGAATCACGGGCTCTCTGGGGATAATCGGGGGATCCGGCGGGATCTGCTCGCAGGAGAGACACCCGGACAGCCTCCTCTTGAGGTTGGGCAGGGCTCAGTTCAGTCCGGCTAGTGTGTGTGAGTGTGTTCCTCCTCAAGCATGACAGGAGGTTTGAGCTGCTGCTGAATCGACTGAGAGAGAGTGAGAGAGTGAGTCAGTAAGCGAATGTGGCCGCCAGGAGGCACCAGAGCAGCACCATCGACCGACTGGGCTTCTGGAGAAAACAAAGTGATAAATTAAAACCAACAGCCGAGGATTTGATTGTAATATACCGTATGTTTTGCGCTGATTTGAGAATGTGATGAAAAATACTTTCGTTTTTACTTGCGTATAACATTTCTTTAATTACTTAATATTTATTTTTGTTTATTCTAGCTTTTAAATATTTAGTTTTTATATATATATATATATATATATATATATATATATATATATATATATATATATATATATATATATATACACACACATCACACACACACACACACACACACACACACACACACACACACACACACACACACACATAGATAAGTCAGTACCAAACTAAAACTAATTTAAAAATATATATTAACTTTATATTTTAATAATATATTTATTTATTTATTTATTATACTGATTACATTTTAAATTGAATATTTTTTTATAATTATATATACACAATCTTTATAACTGTTTTTTTCTTAACAGGGTATCTGCAGGTTTCACCAAGTTAAATGTAAGACTTTTAAAGACATTTTTAAGACCATTATGAATGAGATTTTAGACTTATACAGGGCAAAATGCTAAGGAATTTTGAATAATCCAGTTGGAAAAGATTTTTACCTGACCTGTGAAAAAATATGATAACTTACCGTAAGTGATTATAACCTAATAATGCAATAATAATAATTTATATATGAAAAAAATATAGGTCAGATCAGTATCCTCAGCAGTAAATAAATGGAGAACTTTTAAGCAAATTTTACTGTAAGGAAAGTATTTAAATGCTATTTTTAAATAAAAAATTAAAAGTTAAACTGAGATTGCGATTGTTGATGATTGTAAGGGTGTTGATGGCAAGATTGGGTAGCTATACATAAACAAAGAAAGACCTGGTAAAAAAAAAAAAAAAAAAGATTTAAGACCTACAACACAATATTTCAGTAGATTTAAGACTTTTAAAGACCTAAAATGTATCTTTTGGCATTTAAGACATTTTAAGACTTTTTAAACCCTGCAGATACCCTGCTATATAAAATAAACTTTATTTTGTAACTTTTAAAATACATGTAATATGACATTGTACAAATGTACAAAATTTAAACATAAATAAATAAAACAAATTAAAATTGCACACCAGTGACAATATCAAAATATACAGGCTATATTCCGTACAAATGTGCAGTGTGTATATTTTTATAATTAAAAAAACTATATGTGTTATTATTTACATATTATATACATTTGTGCAATTCATATAGTAACAGAAAATACGTTTTAATGCTGTTTTGTTTTGTTTAAATTTTAAATAAATATTTTTAATAAAATTAATTATTAAACAAGAGAGGAGTTAAATAATGCTGCTAAAAATGTAAAAAAAAACATTTTTATTAAAATTAATCAGATTTTTACTACATGTATTTTTAATGTATTTGTGAACTAATAAATAATCGCAACACAAGACTTCTTTCAAAATAATGAAAACTTTTATGGACCTCAAACCTTACATATTTATTTATTTCATATTTATATGCAATCATTAAAAATAGGGAAAAAATATACTATTGCAACAAATTAGTACACAAAATTAACAAATGCACTATATATTTACATTCAAGAAAACGTAACACTGTTTATTTACACAATCATTCATTTAAAAAGTGTGTGCGTGTGTGTGTGTGTGTGTGTGTGTGTGTGTGTGTGTGTGTGTGTGTGTGTGTGTGTGTGTGTGTGTGTATACACTGTAAAAAACTAATTTTACAGAAAAAATCTCTAAATTTTTTACAGTAATTTTTTTTTTGTCATTTTACATTATATTCAAAACTTAGTAAAATGACAAACAATCTTTCTAAATTAACAGTTTGACTTTTATTTCATGTTTAATCATTACTTTATTATTAAAGACAAATTAGAAATTACTGACATTTGTGTTTTTTATACAGGGAAACTACAGTATTATTTTTTACAGTATTTTTTCTGTTATTTTAAATAATATTATTTAAAATTATTTATAATTATATTCAAAAGTTAGTAAAAATTACAAACAATATCTGTAAATTAACAGTTTGACTGTTATTTTATGTAATATAAGTAATGACAAATTACAGCAATTTGTCTATTTTATACAATAAAATTGTTATATTATTTACACAATGTTTTGTCTGTTTTTTGAAGTACATCTAAAATTACGTAAAATTAAAGTAAAAAAAAAAATTATTTGCTCTGTAAAAAAAAAAAGATTGTAAAAAAGGTCAAATGACTGGCAGCTACAGCTGCCAAACAAAAACCATACAATTACGGTAAAATTTCTTTGTTGAAATAAAATGCAAAAATAATAAATCTACAGATATTTTCATTAAAATGTTTACATTAAAACACTGTTATTTTACAGATATTTCCTAGATTATTACGATCAAATCCATTCAGTAAAGTAACACATTAAGAGTGCTCACATGCACCTGTTCCAGATTCCGCTGATTGCACACACACAGTCAGAGGATCGTTATGAACTGATTACATGGACTTTAAAAGCAGCACAGACGCACCCACCAATTGCTAAGTCTTGTTACACTGTTCCTGTGAACATTATGACACGTTTCTCTTCTTTTGCCTTGCTTTGTTTGTTAATTGTTTATGTTGTTTGCTGCCGGGACTGATCATTTGCTTGTTATTTGACCATGACTCTGGATTGCCTGCATACATTTGTTTGCAGTTTGCCCCTGTGTTGACTGTTGCTTACCTGACCATCTCTGTGTAATAAATTTGCACTTGGATGTGCACTTCTTTGTCAAGGTCCCCTTCACGTTACAGTTCCATTTCATTTAAGATTTGGAACTGAATCCTTCCATGTAACTTAAACCTCTACATGTTTTACAGGAATACTATTCAATACTTTTTGATCCAAAATAAAACTGTTAAATTACGACCATGAGCATGTCTTGGCATTTTATTAAAGGTGTTTAATTAAATGAAAATTATTTATTAAAAAATTATTTTAAATAACATTGTTTTCTCTTGAGCTTTCAGTGCAGTCACTTAATTGATGGTGTTTGATCATAATAATCTAGGAAAAGTCTGTAAAATAACAGTGTTTCTCTGTAAAACTCTTATTGTGTTACTTTATTAAATGGATTTGATTGTAATAATCTAGGAAAAGTCTGTGAAATAAGTGTTTTTCTGTAAACATTTTAGTGAAAATATCTGTAGATTTATTATTTTTTGCACTTTATTTCAACAAAGAAATTTTACCGTAATTTTATGGTTTTTGGTTGGCAGCCGTAGTTGCCAGTCATTTGACCTTTTTTATGATTTTTTTTTTTTTACAGTATATATATATGTACAGTGTATCCGGAAAGTATTCATAGCGCTTTACTTTTTCCACATACTTTTAAGTTATAGCCTTATTTCAAAATGAATTAAATTCATTTGTTTTCTCAAAATATCACACACAATACCCCATAATTACAATATAAAAAATATTTTTTGGGAAGTTGTTGCAAATTTATAAAAAAAAAACTGAAAAATCACATGTACATCAGTATTTACAGCCTTTGCTTAATACTTTGTTGATGCACCTTTGGCAGCAATTACAGCCTTAAGTCTTTATGAATTTGATGCCACAAGCTTGGCACACCTGTCTTTTGAGTTTTTGCCCATTCCTCTTTGCAGTACCTCTCAATTTCTATCAGGTTGGATGGGAGGCAATGGTATACAGCAATTTTCAGATCTCTCCAGAGATGTTCAATTAGATTTAGGCCTGGGCTCTGGCTGGGCCAATCAAGGACATTCACAAATTGGTTGTGAAGCAACTCCATTGATATTTTGGCAGTGTGCTTTGGGTCATTGTCCTGCTGGAAGATGAACCGTCGCCCCAGTCTGAGATCGAGCACTCTGAACCAGGTTTTCATTCAGGATGTCTCTACAGTACATTGCTGCATTCACCTTTCCCTCTATCCAGACTTGTCTTCCAGTTCCTGCTGCTGAAAAACATCCCCACAGCATGATGCTGCCAATACCATGCTTTATTGTAGGGATGGTATTAGCCCGGTGATGAGCGGTGCCTGGTTTCCAAACATAACGCCTGGAATTTTCTCCAAAGAGTTCAATTTTAGTCTCATAAAACCAGCGAATTTTGTTTCTAATGGTCTGAGAGTCCTTCAGATGTCTTTTGACAAATTCCAAGCGGGCTGCTATGTGCCCTTTACTAAGGAGTGGCTTCTGTCTGGTGGATTGCTGTACAGATGGTTGTCCTTCTGTAAGATTCTCCTCTCTCCACAGAAGAATGCTGGAGCTCAGACTGAGTGACCATCAGGTAATTAATCCCCTCCCTGACTAAGGCCTTCTCCCCCGATCACTCAGCTTAGATGGCCAGCCAGCTCTAAGAAGAGTCCTGGTGGTTCCAAACTACTTCTTTCACTTAGGGCTGGACAATAATTCGATATAAATATGTATCGGGGTAGATTTGTTTTCAATAACAGTGGTATGAGTTTTAAACCCATTTCCGGTATTTCGATATAAATTTGCATGTATATACAGGGCTCGAAATTGCAACCATTTTGGTCACATATGTGTCAGATATTTAATCTATGCAACCTCATAATATATTTGGGATTATTTGTGTGACTGCATATAAGGGGTGTAGTGCGACCTGTTTTGGTTTTTTCTAAAGACGTGCAGATTCGCTCTTTCCTGCCGTGATATTGGTTTATATTAGCTGTCAATCACTCAAGGCTTTCCCCTGTCAGATGACAGGGAGCTTTTGTGACTGCGGGAAATGCAAACGGCTGAAGAATGAAAAGTACACAGGTTTACAAACCCTACCTAAAGTTACAAAAGCTAATAGTGCAGATGAGAGCGATCATGACATGTGGTGAATGTTGATCCGCCAGCTGAGATCAATCAAGTGTTTTCGCAGAAGGTGTCCGAATCTCGATACGTTGCAACACGATACGTGTTCAGCGCAAATGTCGCTAAGTATAAAATCTAATACAGTAAACATCATCGCCAAAGAGGCTCGCCTTTACTAAGTTAACACTCAATCTGCGACTCATA